TATATAAACATAAAACATTAGGCAGCATATAATCTATATACAAAGAAATAATCACGCTTAGAATCAATCAGCAATATTAATGCTATTACTGGCGACACCCATCGCTAGTAGTGTATATCCTGTATGCATTAAAATACTGTTAATCCATATAAATGAGGATCCTCATTTATTCTACTGGATTAACAGTATTTTAAATGCATACATTATACAAACTAGCGATGGATTTCGCCAATAATAGTATTAATATTGTTGATTTATTCTATGGGATTATTTTTTATATATATATATATATATATATATATATATATATGTATATATATATATGCAAGATGTATAATTTAACCTGGAATAATTATTAATATTTTTGGGTATTATCCTAGGATGTATTTATATTATTTCCTTTTATTTGACGTCATCTGTAAAGAAAGATACCTACTTGAGTTTTGTCTTTCATGTGGTAAACGTTATTTCTGTATTTGTTTTCTGCCATTTTCTTTTACGTCTTGAAATAATTCAGAGAAATAGTAGCAGTCGATTTTTTTTAAATACTTCCTTCGAAATCGATAAAAAAAAAAATCCCCGCACCCCTGACCACAAACAAAATTTTTTTTAAAAATACGTAAAAATGTAATGTTAATTCTTGGGCAGAAGTCAGTCTTCGCCATCTTGACTCTAGCTGTGAATAAAATCGTCAATAAACAGTTCGTCCGCAGACACGGTGTTTTTTCTCTCCCTATAAGCGGGGAAATAACTGGCGATAACATCTCCTTTCGCAGTCTTAAAAACAATTTTTTGGGGGAACAGTTTGGAAGGTAATGACGTCCAAAACACGTCGAACGAAAAACAAAAACAAACCTGGGAAACCAGTGTATCAATATACGAAAGAAACAAATTGTAATTTTGTTGAAAGTAGCCCTACCCAGAATTTATATTTTTGTTTTTGTTTTGGTGGGAGTGTGGTGGTGGGGGGTGGCCTAGTGACGATTTCCGGTAAATGTAATCTTCCGGGAGGAGAAACTTGATATGGAAAAAGGATAATCCAAAATGATGCTATCATGCCTATATCCATCATCGTATAATGAACTCAAGGGACCGACAATTTTGAACATTTCCACTAAAAAAGATAAAATAAGGTAAATAGATGATTCAATATGGCTTACTCTAGAGTCTTTGCTAATGTTTTCAGCCAATATTTTATCCTGATTTTATTCGAGCAAATAAGAAGTTTTTTTGTTTGTTTTTTTTTTTGCTTTGTTTTGTTTTTATTTTGTTTTTTTTGTTTTTTTGTTTTTTGTTTTTTTATCAATTGTCAACGGGTTTGAAACGCAGTGGTTCCATTCTCTTTTTTTTTCTTTTTCTTTTTCTTTTTCTTTTTTTTTTTTTTTGGCAAAAAATAGCTATTAAGGTTCAGTCTCCAAAACATCGGTACCTGAATGAGTAAAATATGAAATGCAGGTAATATTCATAGAGTCGAGCGTTCGATCCCTGACTCAATTATTCCAAAATTATAACCCAACCCAGGATATATTGCAGTATTATAAGAAAAAAACTAATGACTTATCGGCCTTCACGTTCTCTTTTTCCTCAATATGCCGCCCATAAATGGCAACACTCATTCTAATACTAACCACAAATGTTATTTTTGTTAGGTAGCTTACTTTCAGTTTACCTCTACCCCGTAATGCCTTCAATATATCCTGAGAGTGTCAAATTCTCTAAGCCGTTTTTCCTCATTACGTTTGCCCAAAAATGTCAACTCTGATTCTAATACTAATTGATTCCTTCAATATGTCTTGTAAGTGTTAAATTCTCTTCTCTCTTTTCCATATTACGTCTACCAGAAATTTCAATCTACATGTTCAATTCAATTGTATTCCCAGAATTCTTCAATAGAACCACATTGCTACTGCGTCTTCTTCTTCATTTGTGTGGATATAGACCTACATTTATTGCCTTAAAAAAGAACTGTTATTACATAAAAGTTCATAGCATTCATTTACCTCCTTAATTTCTATCTGACTATATGCTCTGCCATCCATTTACACAAGTTCGTTAGGTCAGTTACTTTATCTATGCCCTTCTTGGTTTCAGTATCTCCTGAGCGTGTCACATTCAAACATCGCATCCAGCCGGTATTACACTAATTGAAATGACGTCATCATATACAAGTGATTTGACGATATATAGTTTTGGCACAGGTTATTGTATATGATAGTCTAACTTCATTTACTGAGCACCTATTAAAACTAAAACCACTGTGAATGGCTTTTGAGATTGGTATTGTATTCTAAGTTTGTTTTACTTATTTTAATAATATAACATTCAGATGCTATTTTTTTTTCTTTTGTAAAAACAAAAATTCAAATATTCCCCCCATCACCAAATGTTTCAGTATTGTAGAAAACATTCAATTTAACTATTTTTTTATTTACCCTCGTTTTAAAAATATATTTGGCATTTTTTTTTAATTCATTATGGCGGGCATTTTCATATTTTTTGTGATATATATATATATATATATATATATATATATATATATATATATATATATATATATATATATTTTGTGATTTATTTTGTAAAAAAATGGATTTTCTTTAATGCAATACTTAATTCTTTAATTCAATTTTAATTTAATTTAATTATGCTCAATTTTACTTTTGTTTAAATTATTGCTTTTGTGATGGTATTGTATTATATTTCAATGCTTTTTTTTTAATAATTTTCATGCACGAAAAGATTTTAAAAAGTTGTTTATTCTTTCATTGGAATTCTAACTTGAACTTTTTAAGTTTTATTTCTTGTCAATATTCATTTATTTCATTATTCATTGAATTTGATCATTTCGTTTTTTTTTTTCTCTTAGATGAATTAATTTGAAATACCAAGAAGTCGAGTGCAGAAGTCGAGTTTTCAAGCCTAAAAAATCTTTCCAAAACTGGGGGTCGACTTACATGGTATAAATGCAAACAATTACTACTGAGTTGTAAACAAGTGGTATAGCACTTCTAACATTAATGTACACCACTTACGGCACCTCTAGCAAACTGCCACATTATATATATATATATACTATTTACATTATTCGGACTATTGCCCTCATCTTTGTCGCCATATTTATAAGGACAATAGTCCGAATAATGTAAATAGTGTACATAATATAGAAATATATATATATATATATATATATATATATATATATATATATATACACACACACACACACACATATATATATATATATATATATATATATATATATATATATATATATATATATACTCTAAAACTTGTGTTTGGTGAACCTTTTTGGCATATTAACACATAAATTAATATAAAATACTAAAATAGTAACACAAATTTAGTATTCTATCAACGCTACAGCACATAATGCGTCCAATAACTGACACACTAAGTGTAAATACTGACCGGAGCAAATATTGGGAGTCGATTTATACAGTATAGGCCTATCTCAGCATTTTGAGCTAAAAATCTTGCCGTCGACTTGTACGCCAGGTCGACTTGTACGTCAGGTCGACTTGTACGCCAGGTCGACTCGTGCGCCGCAATTTACGGTAACAGTTCAGCATTCTTTTCTCTGTTTCCGACTGAATTTTCCTGTTTGATGATACTTTGCTTGGTCGTTGCAAGAGAACCGCTCGCGATTGCAATACACCTCTAGATTTGGGCACATTCTGCATTTGTATTACGAATGACGGCAGTGATGACACTTAGTGCAAAAAGTTAAAACTAAGGAATTACTGAATTAAATCGGGCTAAACTGCAAAGTCGGAGATTTGTTGTTGTTTTCTTTTATTGCGAGAATATTTAGTTTCACTGGAGATAGATAGATATGTACAGACTGAGATAGATATGAACAGATTGAGATAGATAGATAGATAGATAGCTAGATATGAACAGAATGAGATAGATATTCATTTCCTTGAGGCGACAAACGACGAAGGAAGAATAGCTGGTCCTCCGGCCAACGGTACACTGCACATTCTGCCCCCCTCTCGTCACCACTTTTTTCTTTACTACAAGATTGCCCTTTTGATTTTATCAAGAATCCTTAAATATAGTGATTTTCCAAGCGTAGCTCAGATGTGGCACGAGGTCGAAAGTATGGGGCACCCAGTGAAGATCGAACTCACTACTCAGTCATAATTGTGCTAGCGAGACAAGCTTGCTAACCATTACACCACCTCGAGGCGCCCAAAGAAACTATAGATATATATCATTAGCAGAAGACCATATGCGGTAGTAATATTCAAAGCAAAGCCGAATGGTAGATGTATAAATATGTACGGTAGATTCATGAGAATTCAGGTGTAAAATTGTTTAGCACGATTCAGAGAACCAACTATCCTAGCAGAAGACGTAGCAGTTGATTCAATATAATTTTTCCACTTTATGTTTGCAGAGAACGTTACAGAATGTGCAAATTGTTACTCTCCTAGAAGTTAGTATCACTCATGCTGATGGAAGGCAGAAGAGATTTTGCAGATGATTAATGGAGAGCAGTATTTTTTTTTTTTTTTTGGGGGAGGCGTTAAAATTAACAAGCCATTGTTTGCCCCAGGAAACAAAAGATTTTAGGTCATTTTTGTGATCAGCTATCTGTAAATAAATTAATGAAAATGAATTTCAGGAATATAGTACATATTGTCTTTCTAACTTTAGCAACTTTTCACAATAATTTTAATAGAAAATCTAAATTAAACATTACGGGTCCAGTTGACATATCAACATAGAAAATGGAATTGCTGGGCTGAGTTCAAATCCCGTTCGAAGCTGTTTGTGATCACTTTAAAATAATACCCTTGAGAAAGACATAAACCCATAGCTTTTCACCAGAGAAATAATAGAATAGTCTGTAGCTCATATGGACAACATATCCCGGCGAAAGACAACTCTGAATTTAAAATTAAGCGAAAGAGTGATTGGCTCCATCGGGCTATTTATGACTTCTGTATCTCACGGAACTTCTAGTAGATTGTATGGTGCATCTCTCCTTTCTTTCTTTCTTTCTTTCTTTCTTTCTTTCTTTCTTTCTTTCTTTCTTTCAGTCCTTCTTTTCTTTCGTTCTTTATTTCTATCTTTCTCTCTTTCAGTCCTTCTTTTCTTTCTTTTCTTTCGTTCTTTCTTTCTTTCTTTCTTTCTTTCTTTCTTTCAGTCCTTCTTTTTTTTCTTTTCTTTCTTTCTTTCTTTCTTTCTTTCTATCTGTCTTTCAGTGTTTCTTTTTTCTTTTATCTCTTTTCTTTCTTTCAGTCTTTCTTTCTTTTCTTTTCTTTCTTTCTTTCAGTCTTTCTTTTTATCTTTCTTTTCTTTCTTTCTTTCTTTTGCTTCAGTGTTTCTTTTTTACTTTCCTTTCTTTCTTTCTTTCTTTCTTTTCTTTCTTACTTTCTTTTGCTTCAGTCTTTCTTTTCTTTCTTTCTTTCTTTCTTTCTATCTATCTTTCTTTCAGTGTTTCTTTTTTCTTTCTTTTCTTTCTTTTTTTCCCTTTCTTTGTAGCATGTACCTTAAGGACGTTGGCGATCATTGATAAATATATTTGTTAAAATGAAATCTTAATTTTAGAAGACAATTTATCCATCGCACCCTGTGTGTGTGTGCATATATATATGTATATAAATAGATAGATAGATAGATATTTGTGGTCAATATATATATATATATATATATATATATATATATATATATATTTCCAAGAGGATAAAATCCAGTTAGAGCTCTATGTACAAGACAGAGTAAGATTATGATATAATAGGCTCAAACACTAATATTCTATGTTTATGATTTATTTCACTGGATTCGTAATAAAGACCCCCCCCCAAAAAAAAATAGAAAATATATCTCCGGGTTTAAATAACAAACAGACAATCGTTCTGTAGTACCGTATGTCTGGATCTTCCATAGAAGGCCAGCGCGCCAAACTTTGTCAAACTACTTCGATACATCCATAGCTACAGCTCGACCTTCGCCATTATTATCAAGAGCTTGATATACATATTCAGTAATGGACGTAAACACGTCAGCGGTAGACGTGACGAAACAGAAGCCATAAACCAGAATCACTAAGTTGATTACACGCTGTTTACCCTTGATTCTTTTACCATCTATCATAAGATTACCGAGGTTAAGCAAAGTCTATGGCGGTTAAATAAGAATATTTTTGTTTTGGAAAGTATTTTTATATGTGACACTGTGTTTTGCTGGACGTGTCTCCCAGGCGGTAGGTGCATCGTAGTCATAAACTGAGGCCCGTAATCAGCCACACTACCTTGGTAGGCTACTTCATATCAACGACGATCTCATATTGATACCAAGGGCTGCAATGGATACCAATACAACTATATTAATACCAAAATCTACCACGTTTAGCAACCGAATAAGTCAAAGTGGATCCATACCCATACGTCGTTGTTTATGCCAAATTCAGACGTTACTGTCGGATTATCGCAACAGAAATCGGGACTCATCGGACCAAGAAACGTTTTCCCAATCTTCTATTGTCAATATTTTATGAGTGTTTGCGGACTGTAGCCTTGGTTTCTTATCTGACAAGAGTGGCAACACGCGTGGTCTTCTGCTGCTGTAGCTTGTTTGATTCAAGGTTCGAAGTGTTGTGCTTTCAACTAATTTTGACCTTGTTATTGGCCATTCTCCTCCTTTCACATTTATCAATAAACAATTTTCGCACACTGAATTGCCACCCACGGCAATATTTTTTCTTTCTACTTCTATCGTTTTGATAAAAACTTCGAGATTGCTTAGCGTGAAAATCTTGGTAGATCAGCAGCTTTTGAAATATTTGTATACGGCCGTCTGGTAGCAACTAACATTCCATGTTCAGAATCATCTGATTAACCTTTTCCCTCACATAATAATGCATGAAATGAAATTCAATTGGTGGCCATGGGCAGCATTAAATGTCTAGATCTATTAAACTGCAGCAACGTCATACGCTGAATAGAAAGATGATTAAAAGAGTAATTATTTACGTGTACTTAATTGAGTGGCCAAGAATTGTATATGAGTGTGTGTGTGTCTGTGTGTAAAAAGATATTAATATTGTATCGCAGTTTTTCATTATCTATCTCACCCTCTTCCTATCATCTATCTATCTATCTATCTATCTATCTATCTATCCCTGTCTAAGTTTATTCAATATCTATCTATCTATCTATCTAACTCAGTCTATTTCTATCTAACTCATTCTGTTAATTTCGATCTATCTATCTATCTATCTATCTATCTATCTATCTATCTATCTATCTTATTCTAATGCTATTTCTCTATCCATCTCATTCTGTTAATATCTATCTCATTCTATTCATATGTATCTGAGCATTTTAATATCTATCGCAGTCTATCATACCCATCTATCTAGCGCAGTCGATATATATATATATATATATATATATATATATATATATATATATATATATATAATATATATCATATCTTTTCTTTTTCATATCTATCTATCTATCTATCTATCTATCGCATTCTATTCATGTATCGGAGCCTGTTCATATCCATCGAAGTCTATTCATACCGATCTATCTCTCGTATTCTGTTTCATCTATCTATCTATCTATCTATCTATCTATCTATCTATCTATCTATCTCGAGTTCTTTTCTTTCTTTCTATCTATCACAGTCGATTTATATCTATCTATCTATCTATCTATCTATCTATCTATCTATCTATCTATCTGCCAAAATACCAAATAGCCGCTCACGCATTTGTACGTATCGAATTATGTCTACTCATGTGTGAGTCATTTAAACAGGACTATTGACTTTAATTAACCTGGTTTATTACGGGAAGCACTGCCTGTCAGAGTCGCACCTCCATCTCAACCGCCATCACCCTCTCCTTCATAGAAACTGCCATAAATCTCCTTCCCTGGTCAAAGCTTAGTGGTTATCAAATTGGACGGTGGCCTCAAAACGTACGCTTCCATTACTACCTCGGCTGACTTGGCATTGTATTTCGCAATCTCGAGATATGGATTTTCCAATAGTTGCCAAGTGATTTCATGGATCCAAGGTAAAATATATATATATATATATATATATATATATATATATATATATATTAAATAGTCTGTTGCGGGTGTGAGCGAATCAGCTCATTATTAAAGCTGTAAATCTGAAAGTATACACTAGCGTACAAAAGTTTTGGGGAAAAATACATAAAATGATAATAATCCTTTATTTTATTAACACGATGTTGTCCTTGTTGTCTTTTTATCATTTTCAAGCAAGGCAATAAAGCCACTAAGATATATGTGTTTATTGGGTGTTAAAGAATAAGAAAAAAAAAAGAAATTATTAAAGACAGAGAACAATAAAAGAGTAACCAAGAAGACAGTAGATAACGATTGACATTGCATTTAAATTTTTGAACATCATAGTTGGCTGATACGTATGGAAACAGAAGAGAGTTACACAAGCGAGAAGTGCGAGAAAAGAAACTGTTACCATGGAACTTACGGTTACATTTAGCCAATTCAACTATGAATTGGTATGACCTTGCTGTCAATCAAATACTGCTCTTTAATTCATAAATTCTACGTACCACAGCAACAAATTCATCAGAACAATTACCATAAATAGACTTATCAGATTAAGAAACTGTTAGCATAGAACTTACGGTTACATCTAGCCATTTCAACTATAAAATGATGAGACCTAGCTGCCAATCTAGTACTGCTCTTAAATTCATAAAGTCTAGGTACCAAAGAGGATAGATCACCAAAACAATTACCATGAACATACTTATCAGATTAAGAAACTGTTAGCATAGAACTTATGGTTACATCTAGCCATTTCAACTGTAAAATGATGAGACCTAACTGCCAATCTAGTACTGCGCTTAAATTCATAAAATCTAGCTATGATAGCAAAGAACACATCCGAACAATTACCATGAAAGTATTTATAAAAATGTCACATGAAATGTACATTAAGGCGATAGGAAAGTGACTGAAGCCGGGATGCCAGGTCAGCACAAATAACATTGCAGATTCTTTTGATTTTATCAAGAATCTCTAAATATATAGTAGGAGTAAAAGGCAATAGGTGTTAGCAATATTAAAATCATGGACGAATGGTAGATTTATAAAATGTAAGATAATTTCTGGCTAGAAAAATTGTCTAGCACAACACAATGAACTAATTTTTAGAGATTCAATATAATCTTTCCACATCCTGTTAGATGAGAATCACTCGACTCACTCCCCTGGAGGTTAGCATCAGCCATAATAATGGAAGGCAGAAACGGGTGTCTTAGATGATTAAGAGAGAGAGAGAGAAATTAAGAGAGATTGAAAGAGATTGAGAGAGAGAGAGAGATTGAGAGAGAGATTAAGAGAGATTGAGAGATAGAGATTAAGAGAGATTGAGAGAGAGATAGATTGAGAGAGAAAGAGAGAGAGAGAAGTGTAGATTGTTTAGCATCACGCTTTTATCAATAGTGTCTGTGGAACTTTAGCATTGGAAAATAATTTGTTGTATTTTTGCAGGTGCCGTGTAGCAGACGACTTACCACTTTAAGCAGCTTCAAATGGATAAAAAAAACGCCATGCAAAACTATTGTACCAGTGTTTTATAGTGGAACACACCTATTCTATTAATAGACTCTCCCATCTATAATAAGTAGGCGTAGTAGGAGTCGCGCAGTCGCTCAGTCGGTCGGTCTGAGTTCAGTCTGAAGTCGGACGACCGGCTGACCGGTTGAACTCTCTGCCTTCGGGCGGGGAGTAACCCGAACGAGGCTACGCCGAAGGGCAGAGTCTCTTTCGGAGAGGTAAACCGACCCTGAATCCGTTTATATGGGTTCAAAGGGCATATTTTTGGCCAAGCCCACGGGCTCGGAGAACCCACGTTAAACCGGCCTTGTGCCACATGATGCCCTCGTGGGGGGGGGGCTGAATACCGCTCAGTGAGTTGGTCTGAGTTCAGTCTGAAGTCGGACGACCGGCTGACCGGTTGAACTCTCTGCCTTCGTGTGGGGAGGAACCCGAACGAGGCTACGCCGAAGGGCAGAGTCTCTTTCGGGGAGGTAAACCGACACTGAATCCGTTTATATGGGTTCAAAGGGCATATTTTTGGCCGAGACCACGGGATCGGAGAACCCACGTTAAACCAGCCTTGTGCCACATGATGCCCTCGTGGGGGGGTGACTGAATACCGCTCAGTGAGTTGGTCTGAGTTCAGTCTGAAGTCGGACGACCGGCTGACCGGTTGAACACTCTGCCTTCGGGCGGGGAGGAACCCGAACGAGGTTACGCCGAAGGGCGGAGTCTTTTTTTCGAGGAGGTAAACCGACCCTGGACCCGTTTTCGTGGCATTATCTCCTTGCTTGGGGTGGTGCCTATTACTCTGTAACCTTCTACATCGTGCGGTTTTTGGACCTTGTACAGAATTAATATCATTACAAAAAAAAAAGCGAGCAGTGGGAGAAAAAGACAATGCATGATAGGACACCAAATGGTAATAGCACAAGGACTAAAAATAATCATTAAAAATAATTACTATCCGGCAATTTTTGGAACAGTTTATAGTAAGTCCATGCAGCCTTCCCTCTGTAAGCAAAAAGAACGACTACGCGGTTAAAATGTAATCAGTGTATAATTTATAGTTTTTTTTTTTTAACTCTTCTTTTTTTAATCATTCTTTACATATTTTTGTCTTCGATTAGTTCTGAAGAGCTATTATTGATGGCCGGTTACCCTTTATTGACTATTTGTTTCTTTTTTTTTTTTTTTCGAGTCACCATTTTACGGTGATTTATTTATTTTCGTGTCTTTGCTCACCCTCCCCTTTGCTATATATTTTTGTATACATTTATAGATACTTTTAAAATGTCCGTTTTTAAAGTTTAAATAAAGTAATTCTTTTGTCTGAGTCTTTCTGCCAATAAACCACTCGAAACTTTCCCGCTACTGTGTAAAGTTCTGAATGTCTTTGGTTTATTCATCCGGTGTTGTTTTTAGCAAAAATGCTTCACCCTTCTTTAGGAAATACATATTAATATTTTTATGCAACTTTCAGGCATCCATGCATTAAAATTATGAACGTGCTTGCATAGGGATGAACACTAAATCAAGATGCAATTTACACAGTTGTTGGGACCCCGAACTATCGCCAGTCACGACTAACGGATGTGCCCTCGACGAGGTATCATTCCTTGAGAGTATACTGAGTCTCAGACTCATACCTGATCTCAAGTGGATTTCCTATATACGATCCATCGTTAAAGATGCGGGTAAAATGATCGGCTCCCTGAACCGCTTCAGTAAGTACCTGACTCATCATGGTATCCTCTACCTTCATAAGAGCCAGATCAGGTCGAATATGGAGTACTGTTGCCATAGTTGGGTGAGAGCTTTGTTCCGTTTGTTTCGGGTTTTCTCATATACAGTGTAACCCGGATATAAGAGACCCGGATATAAGAGAAACCCGGATATAAGAGAGATTTTCTCTGGTCCCAAATTAGAGCCTGTGTTAATGTATATAAAATAGACCAAACCCGTATATAAGAGAAACCCGGATATAAGAGACTTCTTCTCCGGTCCCGACAACTCTCTTATATCCGGGTTACACTGTATATATATATATATATATATATATATATTATTATTAAGACATTTTTTTTATCTTTATACGTTCATTTTATAGATACAAATATTTAAGCAAATGCTCTGTTTATAACAAATAGTATTAACAACATTTACCGGCCTGAATGTCCGAGAATTTTTCCTAGAAAATATGCGCATATTTAAAACAAAGTATTTAAAATAACATAATCGAAGAATAGCGAAAAAATTATTTGAACAAAAAAAAAATTATTTAAACTATTTACATTGTTCAAACTGTTGTCTTCATCTTCGTTGTCATATCCACAATGTTTCAGCCATTGTACGCTCCGGAATTCTTCGGGTGACTGGAATTTCGAATCTAACCTTTTATTTCGTCCATCAGGGCAGATTGTTCTATTTCCACGTACCATGCCTCTTCCGTTAACTCAGCTTTTTTTAATTTATTTCCCTTTAGTAACTCAACTCTACAAGTTTTTATACACCTCTGCTGTCGCTTGGTATTGAACTCACAACCCATTGGATCAATCACTGGATTACTTCAACCAACGCTTTTATTCGCTTTTTCAAATACTAACGTTGTACCATTACTACTCACACACACACACACACACACACACACACACACACACACACACACACACGCACACGCGCGCGCGCACAAACATATACATAT